GGCAGAAACACAGGGTGGGAATGAATTTACTGTAAAGACATCAGCATTAGGGGACTCAACTGGGGAAGGGTCAACACTAGGCAGCTCCACAGGTCGGAGGAAACGACGGTTCCTCCACCATACTCTACCAATAGGAAGACGCACTTGGTAGTCCCTGGACCGGCCAATACCCATGACAACCCCAACCTTGTCCCAGCGGTGAGATAACGGATCTTGAATCCTGACCTGCTGGCCGATACTCAACCTGGGAAGGCGGCGGGCATGACAGTCGTATCGAGCAGCGACATCTGCGGCTCGTTCTGCTGCACGGCGGTCACATTCTTCAGTCTTGGCTTTCCATTCTTGAGAAAAAGACTTCGGGTGGGCAGGAACACAAGACCTGAGATGATGTCCATATAGAACCTGGGCTTGGGAGCGTCCGGTGAAGTTCAGGGTGTTGCATAACTCTAACAAACCTCGATCGAAATCCTCGCAGTCGATATTTCCTGAGGGTGACACCTTAAGGATCAGGTGTTTAACAGTCTTGACTGCGGCTTCAGCGTGTCCATTCGCCTGGGGGTAGTGGGGCGAGGTCACGACATGACGGACTCCCCAACGGTCCATGAAGTCCCGGAACTCATGGCTGGTGAACTGGGGTCCTCCATCAGTCCTGAGGCGGAGGGGAACACCAACTTCTCTGAAGTAATGTCTGAAATTCCGGATGGTAGCAGTAGCCGTTGTGTCACTACCACAGGGGACGACAACAGGCCATCCAGACAATCAGTCGGCAATGACGAGGAAGAACTTCCCTGCCACTGCAAAGAAGTCGGCCGACACAGACTCGAAGGGTCTTGAAGGGTTATCGTCGCATATTAAAGGTTCCTGTTGCTGGCTGGGTTGCAGAATCTGGCACGGCTCACAGGCACGGCCGGTACTTGCAATGTCCGCGTCGATTCCGGGCCAAAATACAGTCTGCTTCGCCCGTCGCTTGGTGGCCTCCACTCCTCGGTGGCTGTCGTGAAGGCGGGTCAAGGTATGGCGGCGTAGGGCAGCAGGAATGACTACTCGTGGACCATACAAGACGAAGTCTCCGACACAATAGAGGTCCTCGCGTATCTTCCAGTATGGGAGTAGCGATTCATGAAGGTCGTATCGGTTAGATGGAAATCCCTGGGACACACAGTCGACCAGCCGGATATAGAAAGGGTCGGCCCGGGCTGCGGTGCGGAGATCTTCAAGGGTCTTGTCTGCATCCGGTGCTGTAGACTCTTCTGATGTGAAGACGGCCTTCAATGAGAATACTGACTTGAGGGATGAGGCAGCTGTAGAACACAACATCTCGTCCTCTGGGGTGGGGCGACTGACAGGGGCGCGGGACAGGGCATCCAGGATGCACAGCAGCTTACCCGCACGCCACACAGCCATGAAGAGATAAGGCGACAGCTTCTCTTTCAAACGTTGAAGGCGAGGATTCTCTACTGCCTCCAAAGAGTAGTGATTGATAATAGGTACAAGAGGGCGATGATCCGTGAAGAGGGTGAAGTGCTGAAGTCCTATCAGGTAGAAGCGGCACTTCGCCATCGCTCAGACAACAGCCAACATCTCCAGCTCAACCGTGGCAAATCGGGTCTCGGCGTCCGTCAGGAACCGGGATCCACACTGAATTAAGCAGACTTGTCCATCGCCATGGTCCTGCAGAAGGGCGTCTGGAGGCGTCAGTCTGGAGGACGGTGGGTAGGGCTGAGTCGTAACAGGCGAGGACAGGTGGACTTAAGAGGGCCTGCTTGACTCGCTGGAAGGCCTCTTGATGATCTGGGGTCCACAGGAATGTCCTCCTGGGGCTCAGCAGGGGGCGTAACGGCTGGGCTGCGGAGGAGATGTCAGGTGAAAATTCTGCCAGCTGATTGACCAGACCCAAAAAAGAACGGAGGTCTGTCAGGTTGGCAGGGGTTGGAAAATCCCTGATTCCACTTAATTTCTCCTGGTCAGCTGTGATACCTGATGCTGAGAGAGTGTACCCACAGAAGTTCACTGATGGTGCGGCGACTACAAACTTGTCAGCGTTGAGGGTAATCCCGTACTTTCGACATCTGGTGAGAACTTCATATATTCGGGAGAGGTGGGCACAGTAGTCTTCGTCATGGAGTAAAATATCATCAACCACCTTGACACAATTCGTGACTCCTTGAAGGGCCGCGTCACCACGTTGACAGAATGCATCGCCCGTAGCGGCAAATCCCATGGGGCCTCTGCAATACTGATATCTTCCATATGGTGTGATGAATGTAGTCAAATGCTGGTCTTCTTCGGCCAACTCGATCTGCCAATAACCACATAAGGCGTCCATCGTTGTAAAAAACTTCACCTTCGGGTCCACATTTCGAACAGCTGCGAAGGGTGTGGGTGAAGGGTGGGCTGGACGGGAAACTTGCTGGTTAAGTTTTGATAGATCGGTGGTAATCCGTACTCCACCACGAGGTTTGGCGACGGGGACGAGAGGGTGGCACCAAGGTGAAGGTTCGTCTCCGGCCGGCTTGATGATTCCCTGAGCGACCATGGAGTCAAGCTCTTGTCTAACTAGCTCCTTGTAGGCGTGAGGAATCAAACGAGGGGTGTGGATGGCAAAAGGTGTGGCACCATCCTTAAGATGAATCTTCATAGGTGGACCCACCATCGGCTTGAGTGGTGTGGATCCCAAAGATTTCTTCGTAACCAACACGTCAGCAAACACCTTGAGAAGGTAAGCTCTTGCATCAGAAGGGGACTTGTTAGTAGAGATAGGGAGTTCCTTCAACCTGTTGACATGGGTGACCTTTAAAATAGGTTTGAGGAATTCCTTTGAAATAATGGCCAACTCTTGACAATGGCCGTATGATAAAAGCGGAGTCGGGATCCCATCATGAATATCAATCCGGGCTGAGCAAGACTGCTTTCCAAAGGTAAGAGTAGCCCAGAAAGATCCCAAAGCTGGAGCCATCTTGGAACCATCAGCTGTCAGTTTCGTTGAGAGTACGTTGTGTCTCTAAGGACAAGCACATACGAAGCTGTAACATCTGTTTAGGCTGTGGTAAACTTGACAGGTCAACCATTGTTGCATAGTCTTGCCAACGTCGACGCCATTCCCGAAATATCTGATAAGAAGCGTCAGACTTCAGAGAGGGAGGCGTCTGTACTGCAGCCTTTTGAGGAATTGTTGAACCGACTCTGGGAAATGATGTACCAGTACCTCTAGACGTATCAGCATTAGTAGTAGCAGAAGAATCTTGCAGAGTAGATCGTTGTGGGGAGGCTAACAGGGAAATCAAGGCTTCAAATCTGGCTTGATCCTCTCTTCTTCTCAGGTCATCCTCACTTCTACGTATATCTTCTAGTTCTCTGCGTCTTTGTTCATCCTCGTGGCTTCGTCTTTCAGACTTTCTGTATCGAATTTCTTCCTCTTCTCTCCTTGCAACATAGTCCTGGCGTCGAGAAGTTTCCATCCACTTAATCAGTTGAAGGAGATCTTCGGACGCAGGCACCGCAGGAGAGCTTGCTCGCGACGAACTAGGAGATTCTGTGGGTAATTGGGCGTTGTCACTGTGGGGAGCGTGGGGCCTGAGTGTGGGTGGGGAGAGATCTCCCAAACTTAAACTCATAACCCCGTCGTCCAAGGTATCTTTTTGATCCCTGTGAGACATGCCGACAGCTTCTGTACTCTATCTGTGCAAGAGACCGGGTCAACCCCTCGTAATCTATGCACAGAATTACAGAAGTCTAAAGTAATAAGCAAGAATTTAATATAAAGTGGGCCTGTGAGTGCGTGTGTGTGTGTGTATGGCTCGTTGCCCGGAGGCTTGGCGCACTGCCAGACGTAGAGGCAGCTCGGCGCAAGTCGCAACAGAACTGAAGTTGTCTTCTGAAGTTGTCTTAATGCGCGCTGCTCAGTTACCCAATGACTGTAGGCAGGAAGGGTTGTACTGCTGGGCAGCTCCCTCAGTCATCTGACTGCAGTTTGCACAGACAATTCTGATTAAAATACACAACATAGCACTTCACAGAACACTTCACTTTACATCACAGCACTGTACACAGCATAGCACTTCACAACACTGTAAGTCCTGAGGCTTGTATTCTGGCTGTAAATCCTTGGCGAAGCTGAAGACGAGACGCCATTAACACAGTCCGGCGGGAAGGCTAAGTTCACTCTGAATCTCACTGAGAGATCTCACTGTGCCATCTATGTTTGTCTTTGATACCCCCAAAATGTTCTACACTACGGAGGGTATACGGAAACACTTGTTATCTTGAAAATAGGTTCTTATTCTCGTACGGGAGATATACAGAGGAAACAAATAGACAGTGGGCTTCCACACCATAAGGACTAGCGATCTCAACTCTCTGTATCACTCCACGCTGGCATGTACAGATGCCAGCATTCACAAGCTGAATACATAAAATGTAAATATGATAATTCACATACATAACATGGTGCATAATAAATGGAAATATTACATAGGATTAATACGTGTTCTGTAATACTTTACTATACATAATTAATGGAGTAATATAAGAATACACAGCTTAAGGTACTACTTTGTGTCCATATTATACAATAATGATAATAATAATGATGATGATGATGATGATGATGATGATGATGATGATGATGATGATGATGATGATGGTGGTGGTGGTGGTGGTAAGTTAGATGTATTTTGTAGATGATGATGTTGATGATGATGATGATGATGGTGGTGGTGTTAAGTTAGATGCATTTGGTAGATGATGATGATGAGATTCGTTCGTATTTTACAGGTCAGTCTCTCTATTTTCTTGTAGTTTAACTCTTTGTATTCCTCTTAGGTTTCGATCAACATTTTTGCAAGCCATAATAAAGATGTAACTCGCAACGCTGATTCAATTAACATACACGAATATCTAATAAACCTTTTCTTTACTCCATAATTTGACAACCAACGTTTTTATAGCACCTAAAGCCCATGTTTGCATAAACAAAAGAATACCGCAGCCTGTGTACTAACCTGTAAGGGAATATTTCAATGTCCTTGGAGTACTGTGATCTCTCCTGCAGATATGCGGTCATGTATTCTGAGAGCTGGTACGCCCAGTTCATGGCACCCGTAAAGTCAGTCGAGGTTCTAAGTATGGTGTGGTAGGTCATAAAGTAGTGAGCTCCTACAGAGGATTCATTGTCCACGTGCAGGACATTGACAGCTTCTCCGTAGGCCGCATGACCCGCAGAAGGACACATCGTATCATGTGGGTTGTCGGACAAGAAATCCTCTACATGATCCATGAATATCTCTGGTTTAGGTCTACCATCGATCAAGTCGTCTGGTTCAAGGCAGATGGCAACAGCCCTCATATCAATTAATTCTGGAGGAAAAAGTTAAATGTCTCAGACTTGTTTAAGAGGATCCTTAGTAAAGTCGGCTGAAAAAATATATCGACATTTCAAATATATAGAAATGAAATACAATTTGAAACACAAAGCATGATTGACTTTCTTAGAGCCAAATGTTAGAAAATACTTAGTGTTCAGAAATGTTTTAAATGCTTTTAATATAGTAATCTGATATTCCAAAATTAAGTATACTATGCATATAATCATTCATATCGTTATGTAATCCTTGTTGATTAACAAATATACACAAAAAAGATTTTACACAAACCTGCGACTGCACACAGAGTTGGTAACTACACGTATACACGATAGTGTAAACAATGGTGTTTGTTGTGAGGCTTCATCTCATATAAGGATTTTAAAGAGTATTGTTTCATGACCACGTGATTTGAAATATGTTACAGGGTTGTTCCCTCGTCACAGAAATTATCCATTACCCTAATTCCAAAAAGAAGTAATCCATCCTTCCCCTCCAACTGTTGACCTGTAGCTCTCACATCAATCACATCTAAAATCTTAAAATCTGTCATAAACAAACAATTTCTTAAGCACCTTAAAGAACATCTCGTCTAAGACAAATAATATGGTGCCCATTCGAGCAATCCTATCGCAGACCTGTTCGCTTTCCCAACTTATAACATTGTGTGAGCTGTTAACAACTTTGGCCCGTCTAATTTGGCTGCCCTTGATATTTATTAAAAAAAAAAAAATCCACTGCGATGTGGTCACTGTTATTTTTTATTTATTTTTTTATTTATTTTTTATAATTTGCTCTGCTCCCACGGTGTTTCTTTCTAATATGTCAAACGCGTTAGCTTACTTAAAGGTGTGATTTGCCAGTGGGCGATAAACCCGAGCTGCTTATAGTTAAAGAATTGCCGAGTCAATGTTTGTGCCTACCTCTCGTCATACAGAGTTAAAGATGTTGGTTTGTGGGAGTATGGCGCCCTCGCTAAACTAAGGGAGAACCATAATTGTTAATGTATGTCTATGGGTAAAATACCTGAGCTGTTGATGTAGTTGCCATTGCTGTCGAGCCTACAGCAAGCTGTCCAAGTTGCAAATGAGCCGACGCTGTCACGTAGCCATGAGAAGTAAGGTCCCAACCACGACATGGCGCCCGAGGCCAAATACGTCCTGTTGGATGATACACCTAAGTATAAGATGGCGCTCTGGATAGTCCCTTAGTTAGAGTTTTCGGGGTAGATATAGAGAAGGGTAGTGTTTAAAGCATGACTAAGAGCATTAAGATCCACAACATAAGCAGACATGAGACTTACTGTATAACAAATAAAGCAATAATACAATAACCAGATGGTCAGAAATTTTAAGCAATAAACAATCAACGTAAACATACTCTTCGGGTTTGAGCGATGACAAGAAGATTTGCTGGGTGATGGATTCGTCGTCACAGCCAGATACCTGACACACTAAGTTTTGTTCGTGAAAGTCGGAGTAGTTGTATCCTTCTGTCATCACAAAGTACACAGGAGGACCAACGGACAGGTACTTGTTCAGGAACTGCTCAGAGAAGGTGGACGAGAAGGGAATACCGTGATACACAACAGGTAAGTACGGACTAACAGCTACATATTTCAGGCTTAATAAAAAACAACTCTCTATACAATCTTCTACCTTCATTTATTTCCTTCTACCCTCATTCATTATCTTCTACCCTCATTCATTATCTTCTTACCTTCATTCATTTCTTCTACTGAGCCTTCACTCATTATCATCTACGGCTCCTGGCTTTTTTGGTAATAATACAAATATTAATATTTTTTTTTTTTTTTGCTCATGGCTGCCTCAACCTCTGTTTTCAGAATTGGTAGTTCGATCTTTATTTCATTTTCGTTTCTTACCTCCACTCTATCCTTATCATTGTATAAGTCTTTTACTTTATCTGCCCATCTCTCTTTTACTTCTGCCTCAAACAGGATCTTATTGTCTTTGCTTTTAATAGTCCAACCCCATTTATTTCCTTTTTTCTGGTACATTTGGTATTATAGTGTTTATAAACTATGTGTTTTGATTATTTTTTGTCCCAAGCAACAGTTATTTTGGCAAATTTAGGGAGATTTTCGTGTATATATTGATACATTACTTATGTACGAATTTTCTGAAATGTACTGCATCATTTGTGGTATCGTTTACTTCTTATTGTAAGCCTCGATCAGAGTAGAACGTACTAGAACTTCCCAGACCTGTCTAGGTTGTTCTAGGATTGTCTGACGAGGCATATATAAGCGGCAGCGAGCGGACCAGCATTCTTAAAAATCTTCAACAAAAAAAAGGTCTTCAGTCCATCGGAGACACCAGCTGAGCGGTGAGGTGAGAAGACGCATGTCGCAGCTACTCCCGACCCACGTGCTTCCATTTGCTCACGTCGGCACCTGGCCAGACTTACTGTCGCCACACACGCCACTTTCACTTTGACGTGGATATCTCGTCTCTGTTGAATTGACTTGCTTGTTTGTCTGTGTTTTATGCTCACATTTCTTAGTGCCCTCACCGATTCTCCCAGTATTAACGAACCCTGCGGGAACTGTCGTTAGGACAGGCGACAAAGCGGCCCTTAAGAGGGTGTGTGAACCGGGCCGGTGAGTTTAGCTGATAGGGTAGAGTAGGCTCCCCCTTTTTTCGGGGTCCTGTTGCAAAACCAGAGCCACCAACCTACGACCCCCGTTGGAGGGGGGGGGGGAGGGGGTTGGCTACGGCACTGGTCCTAGGGCAACAAGGAACTAGGTAGGTGTAGTGAGCCTTCATTGTCAATTGATTGATATAAAGACGAGTGAGAGAGACGTAACTAATGGAAGGAAAATGCCACAAGAGGCCTCGGAAGAAAAACAACATCTCCGACATAGACAATATGTCCCCAGCAATCTACCCCGTGGAAGAACCACCCACCTTCGCGATTCCGACTGTGATGAAGTACAAGATTCCCAAAGAAACCGAATTCAACCATGCATACGAGGTAGTGGTAGCACTGGAACTAGAATACAAGAACATCAAATTCAGTGTGAAGCCCAATCTAGTTGGAGACCTGATACATCTCCCCCAAGACCACAACACAGCCAAGATCCTCAGCGAGGTCACCAACCTCAACAGGAAGACGGTCAAGATAATACCATTAGACCCCGAGGAGAAAACAACCAGAATGGTCCTACTACGATATCCTCTGGAATTACCTGTAGAAGTCATCATAAAACATCCAAAAGTGACCAAGGCAGAGCGTTGTGTTACGAGTCAGGACAAAGCACAGACAAAGCAAGTGCTAGTGGACATTAAGGGACAGTCCCAGAGGAGGTAGACCTAGGCAACTGGGGGACTTACAAGTTGCGTCCTTTTGTCCCAGAACCACTACGATGCTACAAATGTCAGAAATTTGGACATCACCAATCCAGGTGCCGCAAAAAAGTGAGATGTGGCATCTGCAGCCAAAGCCACAAGACAGAAATGTGTATTAAAAACACAAGGAAGGAACCACCACTACAGCCAAGTGCCCAAATTGTGGAAAGAAACATCACGCTTGGAGCATATCATTCCCAGAGAGGAGAGAGCTGATGAAAATTGCAATGGCAAAAATTCAACCACAAAACACAACAGAAGCACCTCAGAGCACATTCGTGTGGAGTCAACAGCTACAGAAAACAGTCAACCCAACACCCACTCCGCCTCAACTGGCAGAGGATTCCTTCCCTGTACTTCCCCCACCAGGCTACACGACAAAATTGAAGACACCGGGACAAAATCAGTCCATGCAGAAAACCATGACAAATCAGTGAACTCCACAACCGCAGCTCAAGAGGTGTACAGCAGTAAAAGCACAAAACACTCCAGTATTGGTGGAGAACACCATATTGCCTGGGACTGCAACTCCCTCAGGCGACAACCCAACTGAATTCACCCCAGCCTGCCAATCTACAAGCGACATTCACAAAAGAACAAATAAAACAGATGATCACCTTTATGATAGTGACTTTCTCTACTATAATAAAGAAGCAAGATACCAGCACCGAAAATATAATAAATGCAGTAATGACAGCTCATAGAAAAGATGCAGGAAGACCAGACCCCCAAAACTCCACAACTACAAGTGGAACAGACGACGCCCTTGAGACAGATATCAAACAAGAAGAACTTGCCATCCGAGAGATCTGTCAAAACCGTGAAACCTCAAGCCCCTCACAACAGATCACGAGGAATAGAACAACAAGCACAGACCGTCAGCAAACACACGATCAAAGGCAAGAGCGACAGCACCCAGAAGAGAGTAGAAAAAACTCCCGAGATACCTCCAAAAACAAGCGGAATTCCACCTCCTGCTCCTCCCTTAGAGCAGGTGCCCAAGAAACAGCCACCAATGAGCACACCATTCCTAACGGACGAGGAGGAGAGCGACTCAACCATGAACGCCGAGAGCAACTACAGCACCAGCGACGAGGAGATAATGATAGAATAGCCCCACCTCCTTGTCATCTCAAGATAACACAGTGAAATGTACAAGGCCTGTCCAACAAACGGCATACTGTACAAGCAGCAGCCATAGCTACAAATATTGATGTCTTCATTCTGCAAGAAGCCATGAAGTCAAAAGATAAACAGTTGCGCTTGCCTGGATACCAACAGTACTCTGTACCAAAGGGGCCCAACTCCCATGGCAGCATGATTCTCGTCAGGGCGACCATCCCCAGTTCAGAAGTAAAAACCAGTTCACTGTGGAGATGGAGTAGAGGCACAAGCTGTTCGGATACACCTGGCAAACGACATTCTTGTAGTATACAATATCTATAAACCGCCACCCAAACGACTAGAAGCCGGTGAACTACTGACTCAAGCAACACAAGAACTCGTGCTCATTGCTGGGGACTTCAATGCCCACCATCCAACGATCAACCCGACCACAACAATGAACCAGGATGGTCATCACCTAGTGGAACTAACGACAGATGTTCCAGAAATATCGCTCACTAATACTGGGGAACCAACACACATACTGGGAGGAACATTGGATCTCACAGTCATCTCCACTGAGCTCGTTCCAGTAGCTCAGTGGGAAGTAGATGATGAACTGACCAGTGACCACTTTGCAACGACAACCACTTTGAGGGTGGAACTACTCCCTCCTCCCCCACGTTCGCCACCCAGATGGAATACCAAGAAAGCAAATTGGAAAATATATTAAGATGAACTCCAAAAATGGTATTCGAACTATGAACCAGCAGAAGATATTGACCAACTAAACCAGGACCTTACTGATGCCATACAACACGCAGCAGAGAAAGCAATACCAAAAACAAACCCTACAAATAGACACCACAAAGACTACTGGTTCTACAATGACGAGGTCAGAGAACAGAATCACAGAATCAACACATTCAGAAGACATCTCCGACAGTGCCCTTCCCCTGAGGGAGTGAAACTCTTGAGAGCTGCTGTCCAACATGCTCGTCAAATTACTCAGAAAATTAGGGAAGACAAATGGCTCGAGTGGTGTGCAACCATTAATGCACACACCAGCCTGAGTGAACTCTGGAGAAAACTCAGGTCAGCAACAGGAAAACTGCCCAGAGCTCCAGCCTGCCCCCAGCCACTACAGGAAGCAAATCGCTTGGCAGAGCACTTTTCAGAACGCTCGTCATCAGCTCAACTACCTCCTGAAATAAGACTTCATCTACAGCAAGTACAGCTGGAGAGAGAAGTAGTAGTCAGACATGCAATTGAACAAACTCACACTGCAGACTGTCTGTTTACTATAAAATAAATCAGAAGGGCCAGGAAAACAAGCAAAGACACAGCCCCTGGCAGTGATGGTATAACCTATTCATTGCTCAGCAATGCAGGATTTGCTGATGAACTTGCTCCCCGAACAGTTATCAACGCATCATGGTTAGCAGGCAAACTCCCGTCAGCTTGGAAAAGAGCAAACATCGTTCCTATTCCCAAACCCAATGATCCCCAGAATTTCAGACCAATATCACTAACAGCATGCATCGGCAAAACCGCCGAAAGGATGGTCCTTACACGACTCCTCTGGAAAACTGGACCACTTCACTACAATGTCTTTGGATTCACCAAAAGTGTCAGCACTGCACACAGTTTGGCCACTCTCCTGGGATCGATTGGTCAAAATAAGGCAATCGTAGTATTCCTTGATCTAAAGAAAGCATTTGAGTTGGAAAATGCACAGGCCATTGTAACCACTCTGGCCCGGAAAGGCGTCAAGGGTTGCCTACTGGCTTGGATTGCTGACTATTTCCAAAACAGAACAGCAAGAGTTACCTGTCAAGGACAAGTCTCAGATCACCAAAGACTGAAAAATGGCACACCACAAGGAGGAGTTCTTAGTCCAACTCTCTTCAATATCCTCATGGAAAACTTGTGTCGGCTCCCCTTTCAAGAGGGTACAAAACTGCTATGCTATGCTGATGACTTAGCACTGATAGTAAAAGGCAGAAACCAGATCAGCAAAGTCCATAGAGCACTAGACCTCACCAGTGAAGAATGTATGAGTCTTGGGC